GCCGTTACCCGCCTCCAACGGCCCGCTGGGGCGCGCGCTCCGCTCCCTCCTGTCTCCCAAGGGTCTGGCAGTCCCTCCAGGAGCCTCTCAGCGCTGCCCAGCGTCCCAGTGTAGAGTCATGAGCGTGGGAGGTGAAGGGAGGCTGTGCCCAGCGAGTTTTCTGGGCTCGTTTGGGTTTCCCAAGTGAACAGGGGTTGAGGAAAGGGGGAGCAGCAGTGAGACAGCGGCAGGGTAAACGGATGCTCGGGGCTCAGGTGTGCAGCTGGATGGAGGAAAGTACCACGTTGAAGGCTGAACTCACCTGCCCTCCCTTCTGCATGAATGGACTTGAATGGAGTGCAGGGGAGAGTTAGACTTGACGTGTATGCCAATTTTTTTTTTTTGCTGGCATGAAGGAAGTTGGAGGAAAGTGTACAAACTTTACTTCTTTGGTCTTTGATGCAAAGAGATAAACTTGACTAGCTGGAGAGAGAGATAAAACTTTCACTGCATTCACAGTGTTATAAAGGCACGTAGTAATGTTAGGACAACAAGAGTGCTAGTTTTATGAGGTCAAGACAAATGTAAAGGGCAGAAGAAAGGACATTAGAAATCTATATTAATGAACTTAAGTTTTGCTATGCTTTTGTATAACGTAACATACAAGTTGATACCTCACACCATTGCCTACCGCACCCGATTGCTGATTCACTAAGACTGAACAAATCAGTGGCCCAGTGCTGTGTTCTCTCTGGTGGGGGAGAGGGGATCTTGACAGATGGTTCTTCCCTTTCCTGTTCTTGAGTGAGTTTACCATCTTAGTGCTGTTCTTTGTGAGCATTAACTCCCATTAACCTGTGTTTATGCTATCATGCTAATGCATGATAGGCCTTGTCAGGTTATGCATGATATGACAGTAAAAGTCTCCTAGTTTCAGTTCACCTTGTCCTAGTTGCATATCCAGGTTTTTTATCAATATCAGTTTCATACAGAAGAATCCTCTATCTGCAAAAAGTCTGCACAGCAGCAGCTAACAGCAGAACAAAAATTCGAATGTTTATAACAGATGCAGCTGAATGATGCTTAAGTCCAGTAGAGCATGTGTTAGGCACGGTAGGCCTGTGGCAAAACTTCAGCTGTGTTCTAAGTACTGTAGCAACCCGTTATAGCTGGGATATCTTTCTGAAGAGGAAACTGTGTTTTCATGTAATGAGTGCTAAACTCAGTGGTATAAATTTTTGGGCAGGAGTTTTCGTACCAGTTTAGCCTAACTAGGTGAGCTAAAATGAGAATAGTATCCGTGGTTTAGTTAGCTCAAATTAATTTAAAATTAAATCAAAATCTGATGTAACTCAACGTTTGCAGTAAAACATGCCACAGCTTGTCGCCCTTATCTCCTTTGCGCCTCGACTGAATGATGCTTTTTCCTTACTAGAGCAGACTGAGCTGGATGTGTACTCAAGTGGTGGTGCAATTTATTGGACTTTCAAAGTAAGGTGTTGAGATTTGTACAGAAATAGTTGAGGCACAGGCAGTTATTCCGTTATATTGATTTCATTACAGGGAATTTTTAGACCAGCTTGCTAACAGAAGTAATGTTTTTAAACCACCATGAGTTGCCTGTCTGGCAGGTGAAAGTTTGTGTATGGACCTTTCAACTGTTCTAGGTGCAGCATCAGCCATAATAGCATGCTCCTTTATATTTCACTTGGAAGTGTTATTTTCTGCATACCATTAGCCCTAATTTGAGGTATGATAATCTACTAGGTAATATGGGTAAGTTGTTAATATATTTTCTTTTGTAAATCGATGCATGGTATGTCACAAATAGATTCCTTAGTATTTCTGCTTTCTGTCAGATGAAGGAAGAAGGTGATCCATCAGAGTAACTTTGGTTGCCTAATGGTTTTGTAATTTTTTTTTTTCACCTTTTGGTAGACTTCCACTAGAGAGGCTCTGAATAACAAAACCATCAAACCCTTGTTGAATGCATTCAACCAGATTCCTGGGAGGTAAGTAGCTGCCACTTGATTTTAAAAAGTGGCTATTCAGATCATTTTTACTAATCTTTTCTTTAATAGTTGTTATTAACTAATGTAGAATTTTTGTATTTGCAGTGAAAATGAAAAAAAGTGCACCTTGGACCAAGCTTTTAGAGTTATTGTAGAAGAAGAAATAGTAAGTATTTCACACTGCTAGAGCCATCTGTTGATGTAAATGAAACTTCTGTTTGCAAGTTAACATATAGTAATTTAACAACAACTTAACTGAGTTGTAGAAAATAGTGTTTATTAAAAAATATGAACTATGTAAAAATTACATAATTAAGATTTAATATAGACAATTAAAGAAGATTGGTAGGTGGGATGAAATTGCTAATTTTACAGATGCCGCACTGCTGAGAGATGCTGACTTAGCCTTTTCCAGCAGTTCTTTGCAATGCTTCTGAAAATCTACTATGACTTAAAATCATAGTTCATAAATAGGCCTTATTCTGCAATTATATTTGCAGAGTGGAGTGGGTTATGTGTTACTAGCATGTGCTGCATGACAGTAGATGAAAGGACTCAAAGTGTTTTGGTTTTGCTATAACGTGGGATACTTGTTTTCAGAGGTAAACAAACAGCTACACAATAAGGGTTGTACAGTCTTTAATGGCCAGAAGAGATCAAGAAACGTCGTTCATTCAATAAAAAATTTTAATAGGTAACTGATGGGTCTGATTAATAGAATGAAATTTTGGAAGTAGAATGTCAACATCTGTTAAAATGTATCTATTTGTGAAACAAGAATTTTAGTTTCATTACATATATTAATGTAAAAATAGAGAAGTTCAACCTTGTCATGTGTTTGTTTAGATAAACAAAGCTCCATGTGAAAACCTCCTGGCAATTATTTCTCTTGCTATTAATGGAGTCACAGAAGGTAAGCATCTTTATCTTTAATCTGGTAGCAGTTTTAGGGGCTGGGAGGCTTTAGTTTTTCATTTGTTTGTTTACCATCTTCCTTTTTTTTTTTAAAGTAATCTACAGTACAGCAGTTAGCTATGATAATATGTGGTCCTTAGGTTAGTGATTGAATAAATCTGTCGCACAAGAGATGAGTGAATATGACTAAATTCAGTTGTGTGTGCAACAGCTGTTGGAACTTTTTTTTTTTAAACCTGTAGTGGAAAATGCATGGGTTTGGTCATAACATAACTATGATTTTCTCTTCCTATCAACCGGTGTAAAATGCTTAAAAGGCTCCCATCCTGATTTCAGACGTGAGGCCAAGGAGACAGTGAGGTTAAATGGCTTGTCCTAGGTTTCTTTGTCCGTCACTGGCAGAGTGACAGACAACATCTCTTGAATGGCTGTGCTGCCAAACTGCTGCGTCTGTTCACTGCCTCTGGTGAGGCCTCACCTGGAGTACTGTGTCCAATTCTGGGCTCCCCAGTACAAGATAGAGATGGAGCTGCTGGAGAGAGTCCAGCGGAGGGCTACCAAGATGATGAGGGGACTTGGAGCATCTCTCCTCTGAAGAAAGGCTGCGAAAGCTGGGCCTGTTCAGCCTGGAGAAGAGAAGACTGAGAGGCGATCTCATCAATGTTTACAAGTATCTGAAGGGAGGGGGGGTGTCAAGAGGATGAGGCCAGTCTCTTCTTCCTGGTGCCCACTGACAGAACAAGAGGCAACGGTCCTAGACTGAACCACAGGAAGTTCCATCTGAACCTGAGGAAAAACTTCTTTCCTGTGCGGGTGACAGAGCACTGGCACAGGTTGCTCAGAGAGGTAGTGGAGTCTCCTTCCCTGGAGATATTCAAAACCTGCCTGGATGCGATGCTGGGCAATGTGCTCTAGAGGACCCTGCTTGAGCAGGGGGGTTGGACTAGATGATCTCCAGAGGTCAGACACTTAATTCAAGTGAATTTTAGTATCAAAGTTTTGGTAGGTTGGGCAAAATAAAGCATTCATACTAATGCTTCTAGAAAAGAAATTACTGTTTCTAGTATGTATACAATTGATATTTAATTAATATGAAGAAATTAAAGCAGAAGATTGCCTTGTGTGGCTTTTTTTTTTTTTTGAGTTATGGAAACCTACAATTTCTGAGGTGTGATGCATCAAGTTATCCGTGATTGTTTGCATGTAACGAGCAAGATAAATATAAATACAGTCTTTAGTCCAGAGAATGATCTAAGCTGATCGCTTTCGCTTTCAAAAAAAGGTTGGGAATTGTTGAGAAGTTTGTGCTAATATCTAGAAAGGGGGGAAACTGATCTTTATTTCTATAATGAGCAATTCCTACTAGCTAAAATATTTAGAACACTGTATCTAAAGGGATCTTATTCCTATTGCCTTCTAAACCCTAAAATATGAAGAAAGTGAAGAAAATGCAATCCATTATGCGGCTTCATTATTTAACAATATCCTATCACTTTCTGTAGTTCCACTGGGGGCTCATCAATCTTTGTACAAACTGTAATGTCATATTATGTTCTTACACAATCCTTTATAGCAGAAGATAATATAGATGGTGGTTATCTTGCCTTGTGAATATGACTATGGCTAAAACCCAACAGGTGAAGAATCGTTTTCTGTGTTGATGAAATGCGTAGTCAGAGATCAGAAAACGCTGCTTGCTAAACTAGGTGCTTTTCTGATGCTGCCTCTTTACCTCAGTATTAACTGACATTGCTTCCCAAAGTGAGCCTCTAATTGGTGTGTGACAGCATGTCTGCTGTCAATAATTCCTAATGATTGACTCCAATTTCTCACTGCTCAAGCAGTGCACTTTGTTGTATCCCTCAAATGTTCTTTTGTTCTCTTTGCCTGTACGTTCTCCAAACTGTGTGGTCCCTCCTTTATTTCACTATAGCAGCTGCTTTGGCATTCTGTGTCTTCTGTTTCAGATACATGACTGGCTCAGCACGTTTGCGCTGTGAATATCATGGCTTCAAACCCTGAAAGACTTTTATGTTCCAAAACGTTATTGTTACAGATTTTATCCTGCCATCTGATGTGCAATATGGCACACAGATGGCACAGACAAAACCACCCTACAAGCTGTAAATGTTGATAGTCAAAATAAAAAGTTGGAAGAAAACATATAAAGAACATGCTGCTTCCTTTTTAAAAAAGCAAAACAAAAATAAGTCCAAACAAGAAAAGATTTATTGTGTTAAAGCTACCAGAATAATTCTCACTCGTGCAGTAAACACCTCTATGTAAAATTAAACAGCTTGCAATGTCAAGGGAAATCTAGCCTGCAATAACTGGGTTCAGTTTAGATATAATTAAGTAATCTGGTTCAGAATAATCATATGTAAAAACTTTCTGTAACATTACCTTGCTTCCAAATCTCTTGTGTATTTTTAAAGTAATAATAATGGCAGTCTAAATCTGTCCAGGGTCACATGACGACATGAGGTCTCAAGAGCCTGAGACTGATATTGTTTAATTCTATTACATTTCGCCGAGTATAAACAGCACAATTAACATATACAACATACAAGTGGATGTATTAGAACAGCACTCTAAATTCTCTTGCAGTTATCAATTAAGTGTATACTGTAGAACAGGTTAAGCCGCAAAGTTTCAGGACCTGATCCATTTCCTACTGACTTGACAAAGTCTCTTAAATTCCACTTCAGCTAAATTTTTAGTTATCTATTTTAAGGATCGTATTATTAGCATCTTTATAAACATACAGATACCACTATCGTTATGCTCAGAGACATGTGTTCGGATAAAGCACAGCTGAAGTTCAGCTCTAAGCAACTGAAGCATGTGAATTGTCCAGTGAAAATTGACTGGTTTGGCTATTTACATAATAAAAATTACATAATCTTCTCAGAATCGAAGTAGTCAATGAATGAAGTAGTTGAAAAGCTTTACTTAGTTTGTTTTTGAAAGCTGTGACACATAAAAGAGTTGTGGAGCTCATGGTTTTAACCAAAGATGTTGGTAGGAAAAAAGCGTGCATCCAGAGATACCCACTTGTAACATATGGATGCATAAGCTGCACAGATATATGTGTTGCATGATCTGAAATGGCTTGATAATTTTTTCCTGGCAAGCTTGCTATGAAGATTGCACAAAATACACCCCAACCTTTCGTCTCTCATTTATCTACAGATACACGCATGCATTATTACTCTTTCATATTCCATTCAATGAAGTTAAGTGAAAATTAGCATGGCATGAAAAAAAGCATCGCTCAAATTAAAATAAAGCAAAAGAAAACCAACAGTGAACTACCAAAAAAAAAAAGAAGGCTAACTTTATTGAATGTTTGAAACCATCTATGTTATGTATAGGACAGAGCCTGTTTCCTCTTTCTGGACTAAGTAGAAGTACAGCAGTACTATAACATCTCTGTGCTATCTCTGTTTTCTCCAAGAGGTATGCACAAATTTCTCTGTACAACTTTCTGATGAAAAGTCTCACTGCCTGTGGTAATGAGAACACTCACTAGGATGCTGGAACTTAATATTTGAACCTGCAAATACCTAAGAAAAGGATGTGAGAAAGGTGCTGAACATCTTTTCCTCAACCTCATGCAGCAAGTTACTGTCAAATAAAACAATACCACTTTTTTGCCAGTCTTGCTGCTGAGGCAGAAGGATTAGACACAGTGTTACGTAAGATGAGCCTTTCATATCTATCATATCTCCTGAGAGGAGATGGAGTCTCAGGGAGCCTCCCCTTGAAAAGAGGAAAGTGAAAAAGAGAGGAGATGGTTCATATGGGGCTTAATCAATCAAAGGTAAAAGGAAGAAAATGCAAAATCAATTTTCCACAGTTCTATGCATACTTACCCTCTGAGTGCCCTGCTGCAATATTAGTCTCCTTCCCACGCTTCTGCTAAGTCTGACCTTCATCTTTATACACACTAAGAATCCTTCAAAATCGCTGTTTTTCCACCTAGACCCTGGCTCCATTTACAGCTTTTAATGTTCCAGATCTTTGTCTTTCCATCCCCTCCAACACACCAGATGCCGTCATCTCTGTCTTGCCTTGACCTCTGTTCCATTTAATTCCCAACATGAGTATGCTCAGTGCCTTTCTCTGTTCCACCTCCAGCATCCTCCTTGCACAGGAAACCCCTTCAGCTTCAACTTTACCACTCTTATACTGGCTCAGTCTCTGGCTATTCACAAAACAAAACATGAAGTGACCCAGCTGAAGTTGCGACCTGACTCTGCCCACTGCATGTCCAGTGCCACCTCTCACAGTGATAGCTACGTGTGCTTCCAGTGCCATTTTCTGCCTTCCCCAGCCACTAGGCCACATCTGATTTATGACCAACGTGCTGTGATCCCCTCTACCCAAAGGCTCACTTTTAGCTTCTGCTCAGTACAGACGATACATCTTTTCTAGCTCAATCTCTAATCTCCTCCTGTACATACATGGACCTCTTTGGACATTTTTTAATCATTTCAGACTCCTACCCTTGCCTCCACTTCTGCTCTTCCTTCTCTCCCACTCCGCTTCTCTGTTATCCAGCCGTAAAGCCCCTGCTCCTTAGCGGTCTCCGAGCATCCCCAAAGCTGCCGCATCCCTCACACAACCGACTCACAGC